AGTCCCTGATAAGCAGAAGGGTATAATGAGGTTGGTCAAAAGCCATGTTCTGGTTTTGACATTGTGTTCTGGACATCCTTGTGACCAGACCTTACACATTACTTTATAATCATACATTTTATGAGGTATGACTATACTTCATGTATAACATACCCATGATACTATATGAGTCATTGGTCAATGGTTGGCACTGGAAAGTTTCTCAAACATGCAGGCTTTTTTCAGTGAAAAGATAGGAGGTACCAAGAGAGGCCAACAAAAGTACCAGATAGGGTTTTTTTTTTCCTGCTAGTTTTCCCAAAGAGCTTGTTTTCCTAAGGCTGTACTTAGTAGGGTTGGCGTCTGCCAGACCCTGAATCCATGATCAATGGAATACGAGAACATGGGCCTCTCTAGCTAAATACAATGTTCTAGGGGAAACACAAATATACATTTGTCCTAAGGTATATACATATATATATGGGGATTTGGGTAAGGACAGTTAAGACCGAACAGACAATAGCTAATTCTCTGTTGAATGAATGAATGAATAAATGAATGAATGAATGAATGATTATACAGATGAAAAAAGTCAAAGTGTGACTAAATGCTATAAATATGTAAATATTCAAAAAGTCTATGCATGCTCATATGAGGCTCTTTTCCTCCACGACCTAGGATGGGAAAATGTAACAATAGCTCAGTCCTGTGGGTACTTGGAACGGAAAGGATGTGGAGAGAGGAGTTAAGAGGAAAAAGGGAAGGTAAGAAGGGGAAAAAAGAATGAGAGGAAACGTGTGTCTGGAGTAGCAGGAAGAAGCCCAGAAACTCTGAATGTTGATCAATCTTTGTTAGTTCTAGAATTATCTTTATCTTACCTGGTACTCTGTATATTTTGTTGGACTCAAAGTACAGATTTCATGTGATGGAAACTTCCCTTGTTTAGTTATTCTTCCTGAGCCAGTCTAAAAGGCTGTTTAACCACCTCAGTATGTTTCTTGCAGCTGATACCCTTCTGAGCTGAGGTAAAGAGTGGCAGGAAGCAGTGTCATGTGGCTCCCTAAAGCCAGTTCATGCGGAAGGACTGACAGAGGAAGCCTTCCCTGATAGTAAATAAATGGGGCCCTCTCTGCAGGAGGAAAACAGGTGATGTTGCAATGGCAGAACTCACCTTTCCACCTCTTGTTTGGTAAGGTTTTGGGAAAAGAACCACAATCTGTGCAAAAGTCAGGTCAAAAGTCTCTCCAAACATTGATTTCCCAATCCAGACCCTGTAATATCAAATAAAACAAAAGCCCTTGCCCTGAATGAAGTCATTAGAAAATATCTCTTTGCTGTCCTGGGAATTGGGTTCTCTCACAACGTCTTTCTGAATTATCACTTTGTATTGAGGCAAGAGTTTAATCTTTCAAGAGGCCAGTGGTTCTGAGGGCAGAGGGGAAGGCTGGTGCTACCCTTGGGCATGGGAGAAGCATTAAGATCAAGAACACAGCTACTGCAGCCAGGCTGCCTGGATCTGAAATTGGTTCTGCCACCAGTGGAGTAAGTTTTATAACCTTTCTATGTGTCATATGTGAAAGCGGGATACAACAACTTTAATTCATAGGAATAAATAAGTTAATGTAGGTGATACACTTAAACCAAGTGCCTGAATATAGCAGACATTTAATAAGTCTTGGGTATTAATAGGATATAAGAAAATAAATATTCATTTGCTAAAAATTTAAAGTTTATTTGGCTAGTTTTTATTCTTCATTTAATAAGGACCAGTGGTTTCAAGAATCCTGGGATGAAAGAACTG